TAGAGTCTTTCACAAGCTCAAGTTCAAGACATCCCACCTGCCACCACGTTACAAAATAGGAGCTCATGTAGAGCCTTTTCTTTACCGTGGAACTTAACAAAATCGTACAGATGGATAATAGAAGGGCTGAAAGTATGTTAAACTCAACCAAAATACGACACGTGAAGGGCTGAAAGTATGTTAAACTCAACCAAAATACGACACGTGAAGGGCTTGATGAGCGTAACTCACCAATAAAGCTTATAGGCAAAGGGTCGAAGAATAGATCATACAAAGCAAACCCGTGAATCGTTATATGCAAGATTAATGATGCTAACTCCAAAATTTCATTCTCATTTTGAATTTTTGGCTGCAATTCACTAGCAATCGTTGATCAAACCATAGGATGATGAATTCATCTCAAGCTTTAAACACATCGTCTGTTGAATGCAAGTATTAAATTGAAGTTGTACCAAGCTAACCGTATTGACAAATACTAAAGTGAAGTCGTAACAAGCTAACCGTATTGGACGGTGCGTTTGGATCACCTTTCTTCAACGACTCATAACTAGTGGCCCACCAACACTTAAAAAATCAACTATGACATCATTTAGTCATACAATACTAATTCATCATATTTAATTTTAATGGCCACCCTCTTCCAACTTTAGGAGACTTTGCTCAAGTCTTCTCTATACACCAAGACTAATTCTAACGTTGACTTATACTTTCGAATAAATTATATTCTCGAATATCAAATTTAAATCTCTCTCCGGTATGAAATTTAATATATATATATATATATATAATTAATTAATTAATATTAAATTTTAAAAATAAATTATAGTATTTTATAAATAATAATGACAAAATTATAATTTAAATTTTAAAAGTTTCAAGAAGAATGGTTAAGTTAATTATAAAAAATTATTATTATAAGTATTTGTAATTCAAAGATTTAAAATATATTAAAGAGTGAGAATAATATACTGTTCAAAATTGTTCTATTACACTTAAGTTGAAATTTTTATTTAAAAAATAAAATTTTAAACCCGTTATATAAAAACTAAAACCATATTAGAAAATAATAATTAATTAAGAGTTACGTGAAACGACTATTTATTGACTTATTTATGGAAATAAGTATAATGTCTTTTTAAATTTAATTTGATAAAAACATTTTTATTAAATTCATATTTCCAAATTTTGCCACGTGTATATTATTATTATTATACTATTAAACAATTCAACCACTAAAAATATTTTTCTATTTAAATTTGCCTCGTGTAAATGAATTAATTTTTTTATATGCAGTTTGGATTAAAAATAAGAAGAAACACCATACAAACACTAAAATAATATTTATAAACTAAAATTTTTTTTAAAAAAAAACGAAAAAAACAAAACTTTTTTAATTTTTACTTTTTTTTAAATAAAAAAATCTAAAATATGTAAAACATATCTCTTTCTATCTCTACGTAATTATATATTATAAAATTAAATTTATTCTTTTCTTGCGAGAAAAAAACATTATTTTTGTAATTTTCTACCACGTCATGTGGACTAGATGCAAATAAAATTATATTATTTGCATTACTTTATTTTATTTTTTTATGGGTAAAATAACGTTTTGGTCTTTGTTTCTTAGTAATTATCGGTCTAGGCACAGGCAACTATGTGGAGACTGATTGGTTCTTAGGCTCGATCAACCTACTCAAGATCGTTTAGGTCAAGGGCTAAAAAAACTCATATACCCACTTCACTCAAGACCGAAGAGGGTAAGGTCGGTGGACAATTTTTACCTAGGAGGAGTGTTTCAATCTGAGACAACTTATCAAGCCTGATTCAACAACTTTCAATTCGATTTGACAAAAAAAAAAAAAAAAAA